ATTAGTTTAATTAATTACTCAGTGTAATTATAATTATATTAAGTGCCTATACCTTCTAATTTTTTTAAGATGTTTATGGCTGAAAAGCTTTTCGATGAGGTCTTGTTTTTTTTTTCTAGAATTTTATTTCAGATCAGAAATTGTTTTATCCTTTGCCTCTAACTGCCTGTCTGTATTTAAACTAAAACAATTAATACTCATATTAAAACCAACAAATAATCATTACATTGCTCTAATTTTACTAAAACAAAATCACTAGATAATAGAGAAATTAAATTCATTCAAATGATTTACTATTCATGATTGTAAACAATCAAAACAGCATACATACCAATTTCTAGGAGATGATTCTTCTGACAAATTAGTACAAGGAAAATTTATTGCCAAGCAATCACATAAAATTGTACTACTAGTGACACTGTTATCAGTACCATTCCTATTGCTCTTATTTAAATTAGTATGGTTAGTATCACATCTGTAAAAAATTAAATAACAGAAATAATTGAAACAAAATAAGAGTTTTCAATACTTACACTTTTAAAAGTAACCCACAACTTTCTTTTGTTGTCTTCTTTCTTGTCGCTTTTCTCTTAACAAGTCTTCATTTATTGAAGAGGGACAAATTTTTTGAAGGAACAGCTTCTTTTTTAGAAGTATCTATAAAAATATTTTTGGGTGTATCCTAGTAGCTCATGTTTTAAATTTTGCTTATAATACTCTTTGGTCAAAAAGTTGGAACAAATACAAGCAATATTTAAATTAAACTGATCTTCTCGCCAGCATATTTGCTGCCAAACACTTCTTACAGTTTTGTCTTTGGGAACCAAAATTTTTACATCGTTCGTAAAACACTTTGAAAGGTTGTTTACATTAAAACCTGCTATAGCACATAACATTTTGCACCAGTATTTTTAAATCCAAAATAATATTAAGAGTGAAAATAACCTTTACAACTCCTATATAAATGTAAACAAAATGTCGAGATCGTCACTAACTGACGTCACTTGACGTTTAATAGCCCGCCTACATCTGCGCGGTATCATATATTCGCTTGTAGATCTAGAGATTATGGTCTACATCTATTTTGCTAGTTATTTTATTTCTAATGCCACCTGTTGAAGTACTATTGAGTTTAGTTGGTTCTCAAATAAAAGAAAACTATAAATTTGTGTTAGTATCTATATATCTAAGCCTTCCACTCGTATATTTATATATAAAACAGCGCCAACTGGCACAACTTAATAGTATATTACATAACGAGAGTTGTAAGAAGCTTATTACATGCGAGTAAAAAAGTTGCGCGCGAGCCGCGTAGCGGCGAGCGCAGTAATTTTACAAGCATGTAATAAGCTTACAACTCAAGTTGTGTACTATACTTTTTCTACCATTATTTACGTTTATAAAAATAAAAATTAAATTACCACTATATTTACACTGACAGTTTAATAATTTTTAATCTGTCAAAATAACGTCTGTTAATTCGTTTCCATGGTAACTCGACCAACTGACTTAGAAGGCTTATGTGATATTACACATTTTTATAAAACTGAAGCGTAATTTTTTTTATTACGTGCTAGTCATTACGTGTCAGTATCGTACCCGGAGCGGAGTCAAACCCGGAAAAATAGTGACAGCACATATAGCTCCCGTGGAAACCTCAAAACAAACATATATATATATATATATATATATATATATATTATATATATATATATATATATATTATATATATTTATATATATATATATATATATATTTATATATATATACATATAGTTTATAATATTGCACACTCTCAGTGCGAATTTAAATATGTGAAACTATAGCTCTCTAACTCTATCGGGAGGGGCGAAGTAAGTATATTGTAAAAATAAATTATTTTTGTTATTTGAAGTAAGAACACATAATACAACGAGTATATATTAGGTTTTATAACCAAAAAAATGTATACGGTAACATACCTTTAAATGGTTTTGTGTCAACAAACAAGTTTAATTTTATTGGCGGTATTCTCTGTATTTTATAATCCCATAATTTTGTTTTTAATTATACACACTTATTTATCAAAAAAGGAGAATTTGAATAAATTATAATTTCACGACTCTAATTAGGAATAAATTTCCAAAAAAACTTTTTTAATTTCGAAATAAACAAAACAAACTGCTAAAATGAGACAAACAATGGGTACGAACGCCGAACATCTGTTCAATTATTTCTCAAAAAAATTTACAATTATTCAAAGAGACGTCGAGAGAATTGCTAATGCGAGATTCGCTCCGCTGTATCCGATACCAATATTATTTGTAACTTCTGTAGCTGTATCTGGTGAATTAATTAACTTTTCTCTTCTTTCGGCTCTTATAATTCAATAAAGTCATTACTGATGCGACGCGAAAGGTCGAATTCTCCTTTATCTCGTCTCGAATTCCCTTTCGGCTCCTTCTTTTCCGATCGACCTGAATTTTATTGGTGAACAAAGGTTGGGGGTCAGGACCTTATAGAAAATAGCAGAAGGGGTCGCTTGGGGAACGATTATGAAATGTTTGTGTCAGATAAGTAGGTACTTGAATGTTCAACGAGAAACGCCGTTTTGTTCATTTTAATAATACTACCTATTTTCAGTTTTATAATACAAAGTTAATTATAAAATGTCAAAATTAATTATTTATTGTGAAATTTTCTTCCCGCCTACTACACAGCCCACCAAAAAATTTTTTGTCTTGCTGTCGAAAAAAAATCTACTGATTTTGGTTAATTCATCTGTGCTGATTTTAAAAATATAAACCTTTTCTTTGTATCAGATCTAGTTTTCGAGATATAACATACTCATCAAATACTTAAATATTCTTAAATTTCTGTATCTTTTACCACTATAACATAAGCCAATTTAACAAATTCTAATACAAATACATACTAATGACTTCTGATTAAAGTATACTTTTTGGAAATGCCCATGACTTAAAATTAGCGCTAATTACTTTTTAACTATTGCCCGATAAGCAAATAGTATTTTCTCTGAAACGACGTTAACAAATTCCTATAAAATCAACTGCATTCTATTGTAAAATTTAGTTTAACTTGAGTTTCGTTGCAAGAGTTTGTTTTTGACAACTGAAAACCATGACTTCTACAATCAGGCGTTGTTGTGTGAATAACGCGTACGGTTTTTGCTATATATGTGGCGAGTACAATGTACAGGAAAGTAGAAAACCAGTTTGTGATTTTATAAAAAGCGCATATCAAGCCTATTTTGATGTTCGCTTAGGAGATCAATCAATCGCGTTTTTACCTTGTCTAAGTTCCATGCTTCTTCAATGATGGGTTTGTTTGTTTGGATGCTTATGCTTGTTTGGTTTAAATGCTAGTTTTCGCTCATACGACCTCGGATTTCCTAGACTAGGGGCGCCGGGATACCGAGAACAAGAAGAAGAAAAGAGGTGGAAAACCGGATCTTCCGGAAGAGTTAGCCTAGTGAACCAAACCTGTTACGACGTACAAGTTTCGTGGAAAAAACGATTCCTTTCAGATTGTTGGCCATTATTTTGTTTGCTGGAAAACGCGTGGAGGATAGCTGTGGCTATATCCTCAACTAGGATCAGGTATCATTGTGCAATGAGATTGGGAAATCACAGAAAACCAATCTCCCCCTGTCCTTGTAATATTTAATCGACTCTTAAGGAGTGTGTGCGGTGCTTACAGTGAAGGTGATGTGTTAGATGTTTGTGGAGCTTTTGTGTGTTTACTGGTTAGAATGTGGTGTGTTTACTGGTTGGATTATGGTGTAAGATTTAGGTTTTTATTATTTAGGATTGTGAGAGGAGTGAAGGTAAAGTGTGTATAGAATGGATGTTGTGTTGGGTGCATGTGTGTGTGTGTGATGATGTGTGTGATGTGTTTTTAGATGTGTAAGTGGATAAAGGTTTAGTTTATGAGGTTGTTTGTGCATGAAGTGGCTATGGCACATCCATACATTGCATTGGATATTTGGTTTAGGAATCGGATTAAGGATTTCATGTTGGAGGATAGGTCGTAGGAAGAAATTTGTTTCTCTGTGTATACTGGTTGGGTTTGATCGTAGTTAGCGGGATGAGCGCTACGGTGAGGACATCGTGGTGAGAATGCGGGGTGAGGACCGTTACAGTTAGGACATTTGGAACCAGATATCGTGGGGCAGGCAGAGGACCGGTGGCTGAGCCCGCAGTACGGACAAATGATTGATTTTTCGGGGCATTCGTTGTTGAAATGTCCGCTTTTGCAGCATTTCGAGCAATATTTCGATCGCATACGGATACGGAGCCTAATCGTGGTATTTCATAGGCCAAGCGTTCACCCTTGATCAAAATATCGCTCGAGAGCGCTTCAGCGAACTTTATTTCAGAGTTAGTGAATATTCTGATATAGGAGGTAGGTTGGTTGGTGGAGCGGGCGATTATTTGAACTACTTTTGTGTATGGAAAATTGTTTTCGGATAGATTATCCTCGATGGTTTTTTGGGAGGGGGTTTTTGCAACGCCGGATATGACTAAATGAAAGATTGGCGAATTGTTTAAATTGGGTTGAGAATTTTGTGATTTTGGTAGACGAGCAATGATTCGGATGAGGTCGTTTTTGTGACTTTTTGGAGCTTTGACGTAATGTTGGTGATGTCAAGGAGTTTGGTAGTTCGAACTGAGGTTGCCTGTTGGGCGGAGAAGACTTTTATCCGGTCTAAATATTAGATCAAGATTAATCCTGGGCTCCACACGGAGTGTGCAAAACTTGTCTGGAAAACTTGCGATAGTGGACGAAAGGACAATGAAAATGTTTAAAGTTTGGTGTACCAATGGTATGGACGAATCAAAAAATCATTTTGACAATTGCCATTTTTGTTTTGTGAATATAAAGGGCATTAATCGAAACAATCGACATACGTGGACATATCCTAACCTGGATTCAGCAATAAGACGAATTCCACCATCTTGAATTCATCGGCTTAAACAGATACCCATTCCAATATTTAGCTGTCTACCTACGTTAGCAAAGGATAATGCCGAAACGTTATCTGACGAATTACAGACTAATAGATTTGATGAAGACGACAGTGATTTTGAAGAGGAGTCAACACGTCCTAAACTTTTTCCTCAGGAAGAGCTAAGTGATCTTATCAGAGATTTGAACCTTCCAAAGAATTCTTCCGAGTTGATTGCCTACAGACTAAAGCAAAAGAATCTTCTGTATCCAAACACCAAAATTACATATTAACGTAATAGAAACAAAGATCTTTTGCCTTTTTTTTTGAGCACAATGATATAGTTTTTTGTAATAATCTTAAAGGACTGTTCGAAAAAATGGGTGTATCGGAATATAGACCAGATCACTGGCGTCTGTTTATCAACAGTTTCGAACGAAATTTAAAGTGTGTTCTTTTACATAATGGCAACAAATATGGAAGTTTATCAATTGGGCATTCTACAAAAATGTAAGAAGAATATAAAACAATTTCGCTGGTGCTAAAAAACATCAAGTATGACCAACATCGGTGGGCGATCTGTGTTGATTTTAATATCGTAAACATTCTCCTGGGACAACAAGGTGGCTTCCAAAATATCCTTGTTTCCTGTCTCTTTGGGACAGCAGGGCTAAAAACCAATACTGGAGTAGAAGAAAATAGCATCACAGAGATGCTTTAGTTTAAGGAGAAGCTAATGTAACAATAAAACACTGAAAACTTTGTTTTCAAACTTCCACAAAATTTATTTTAAATCTTATCACTACAGCTGTTTCGGCTGGTTGCCTTTCTCAAGTGATCTATTTTTGGCTTGGGTTTACAAATTTATAGTCTCTAATGAAATAGGTTGAGGAGGGGAGAACTGTTTGTCTCAAGTTGGTCGTTCGGAATTATATCTGTTTTTTAATTTGTTGATTTTCATAGATTCTAACAAAGATAGCTTAAGGCCTTTATTTTGAATGTGAAGAATTTTAAATTTATCATTAAAATAATGAATAGGATCTAGAAGGTGAAGTGCGTATGTAGAATCTGTTTTTTTATTCTTGAAAGCCCTTTTATGTTCTGCTATTCATTTATCAAAGTTTCTACCAGTTTGAACGATGTAAGTTTGAAGCCACAAATTTGATCGCCACATTGAAGTTTGTACACACCACTATTATAGTGTTTTTTATTTTGGCTCTTGTTATTTTTAATATATTTGCCTAGGTTGTTATTTGTTCGGAAAGCTGGTGTTATTCCTTTCTTTTTTATGTGTTTGGCAATTTTTGTTGTTATTTTGCCTGTGTATGTAATCGAGCAGAAGGTAACCTTCTGCTGACTTTATGCGCCTACTGCTGACAAAAATAAAGAAAAAATAGAAAACTTTTATAGCGAACTTCAAACAACATTACATCTCACAGCATCTGGAGGTATAAAAATGATCATGGGTGGTTTCAATGCAAAAATTGGCAAAGGAAAATGCTACCCTAATGTAGGACCATATTGGCTTAGTGAACGAAACGACAGAGGAGATTTCCTAATAGAATTTTGCCAGGACCATAATGCCATGCATAGCCACAAATAAATTTTTCAAATTACCCAAGCGACGCCTTTATACATGGAAATTACCAGCTGACAAAGACAACAAAATTGTCAGAAATCAAATTGACTACAATCTAAAAACAAAATAAAATCTGAAACACGAAATTAACACAAATCTAGATAGAATCCCAAGAAATAATTGCGACGTAGAACAACAGTGACATTTCTTCAAAAACTCTATATTAAAGTCAAGTAAGAAAATACTTACAACTACCAAATGTAAGAAAAAGAGTGGATGACCGAGAAAATTTTAGAGTTAATGAATAAAAGGAGAAAAAACAAAACCATCAATACGATTCGCTATAAACAGCTTCAAAACCAAATAAAAAGAAAAATTGGGGAGGGTAAAGAAACCTACTTCTCTGAAAAATGTAAAGAAATATAACAACTGCAAAAGAGATATGGCAACTTTAATCTACATAAAAAAATCAAAGACCTAGCCGGAGTAGGAAATAGAAGAACCTCAAAATATATTGCTCGACTAAAATGGAAATGTTATATTGGAGACAGTATAACGTTATAAATGTCACATTCTTATTAATTTATATTTAAAGAATTATTTGATTTTAATTTCTTTATTAATTTATTAATTCTTTTACCTCCATCTTTGTTTTTACTATTTTTTATATACAAAGTACTTTACGCCCACTGTTTTTCTTTTCTTCCTCTGTATATCTTTTCTCTCTCTTTATGCCATGTAGAATAATTACTCTCCCTATCTTTTTCTTTTCGGCAGACTAAATATTCTGTTCTGTGTTGACAGATAAGCAACATCCTATGACATCTGTGCTAACTTCAAGCAGTCCCACTACTTTCTGTCAGTTAACTTTTCTAAAGTAGTGGGAATATAATTTTTTGCCTGCTTTTGACATTTATAAAAGAAGGCAAGCATTCTTCACAGATTTATTTGATGGTCATTTTATTTTATTTATTCTCTTGGGTTTATTGGGTTTATTGGCGAATTTATTGGGTTAATTGACCACATCAATTTTATTGAGCACATTCAAAATAATGAGGACCATTTGAGGACTCAACAACTTAATCAGGACCTAGGTACATCCATATGTTCCTGCAGCTCTTCAGAAGACACAACATTTAATTGGAGGACCTAACATCTACAACACACAAGCAGCCGATCAAAGCAATAAGTATCACGAATTAATCATTAAGCTTTGGCAGGGTTGATTGTTTTTTATTGTTTTTAATAAATATGATTGTTTAAGATTTGTTATATTTGCTATCAGCTAAGTGTTCGGGTTCAATCCCTAGTGTAAGACAAGACAAACTCACACTTGAGATGCTGATCTAGGCGATAATCCCGCTTGGTTGATAGAGGTATTATTTTTATAATAGTACTTCAATTCTCCTTGGTAGCCTTATCATTACACTACGAAGATGGAAAGAGTACATCGAGGAATTATTTCATTACCAGAGAGAAGCTAGTACATCTGTAGATAGCCAAACAGGAGATGTAGGCCCAGACATAACCAAATCAGAGGTTAGTAAGGCGTTAAACTCAATATAAACCAATAAATCTGCTAGTCCAGATAAATTATCAAGCGAGCTAATAAAGTTGGCCAACCTGGAGAAAAACCTGGATATAATAGTAGAACCGTTCAAAGTTATCTATACTACGGGATCATCCCTAGAGAAAAGTTGATATCAGCATTTGTGTGTTTGCCAAAGAAAGTGAATGCCAAAGAGTGAAGTGACTATCTAACCATGAGCTTAATGTCACATTCCTTGAAAATTGTGCTGAAAATTATCCACAACAGAGTTCACTCTAAACTGGAGCTGGATATTAGTGACACACAATATAGGTTCTGCAATGCTATGGGCACCAGAGAGGCACTACTCTCCTTCAACGTGCTGACACAGAGATATTTGAATGTTAACCGTCCTCTTTACGTCTGTTTTATAGACTACAATAAAGCGTTTGATAAAGTAAAACATGACCGACTCATTGAAATTCTAAAAAATAAAAACTTAGATGAAAGAGATTTAAGGCTTATAACAAACCTTTATTACAATCAGCAAGCAATAGTACGTATTGAAAAAAAGACATCTAAGACATGGAAATAAAGAGAGGAGTCAGGCAAGGCTGCATACTATCACCTCTATTATTTAACGCTTATTCTGAACAGGTAATTCAAAAAAACTCTGGAAGATAAAACAGTCGGCATAAGAGTAAATGGAGTTCTAGTTAACAACATCAGATATGCAGATGATACAGTAATAATAGCCGATAGTTTACAAGACCTGGAAAGACTCATAAGTAAAATAGAAATGTGTAGTAGGGAGTACGGACTCTCGCTCAATATTAAAAAGACGAAGTTTATACAAATTTGTAAAAACAACCATAATACTAACGAAATCTTGATAGTAGAGGGCCAGCAGATCGAAAGAGTAAAAAAGTACACTTACCTAGAAACACTTATCAGAAAATAATTACTACACTGCAGAAATCAAAGTCAGAATCGAAAAAGCACGTTCTAATTTTATGAGAATGAAAATGGTCCTATATGGCAAATATTTAACATTAGTTCTTAAAGTACGCTTAATAAAATGTTACGTATACAGTGTACTATACTATGTAGTGGAATCATGGACGTTTAATCTAGACACAATGAGACGACTTAACGCCTTTGAAATGTGGAACTGTAGAAAAATTATACGGGGTTTTCTGGGTAGATAGAGTTACAAACAATGAAGTACTGAAAAGAATAGGTAAAGGGAAGGAAGTTGAACTTACAATTAAAGAAAGAAAGCTACAGGATTTCAGACATGTCATGCGGGGCGAGAAGTATGGCATCCTGCGAGTCAGAATGCAAGGAAAGATAGATGGCGGAAGAAGAATCGGAAGAAGACGAATTTCATGGCTTAATAACTTGAAAGAATGGTTTGGATGCAGCTTAAAACAACTATTTAGAGCTACTGACTCAAAAATTTAAACAGCTATGATGATTGCCAACCTCCGTAGCGGAGATGGCACCTGAAGAAGAAGAAGCACAATTATTGCAGCCAACAGAAGAAAAAAGTTAGTTAGCTAACCAAGACTGTGTCAACTTGGTTTAAAGCACTTTAAAACGCTAAGACGGTTAAAACATTCGTTAAAATTTAACCTAGAATTACTAACTTAAATTTTAACCTCTCACTGAAAAACTGGGCCTTAACCGTATAAACTAATGAAGCAAATATGTTTTTAGGTTTAGGGCCCGTTTTAAAGGATTACTTTTAGTTGATGGCTATAGAGTCTCGATTATGAACTTGTGTTTTATCGTTACATCTTTTAAATAGTCTATATGTTATGATACCTAAATTAATTTATATATTATGTAAAACTTACTTGTTCTGTCTTTTTTTTTTGATGAATCAAAGAAATTTATAGTTTATAATTCTGTTAATATAAATTATGTACAATTGTTTTTTCCAAGCCTCTAATTAATTCTATAAAAGTTTTTTTTACTACGTGCCGTCCTCTTCTAAACGACATTTACCATTGACTAACTTGTAAACGCAAAAAATAATAATTTAAGAATATTCATAAAGGTCTTAAATTCACCGTATTTTCTCCGTTTTTGTTTAAGAAGTCTAGACATGACACATTAACTTCGACTTTTGTTTTTGCTAACGACAACAGAGCTGCGATTCTAATTTTTTTATCTCTCTCAAT